TACTTATAAATACTTTTTAAATTGATTAGAAATCAATTTAACAGTATTTTTATACCCTTGCAGGGTATTATAATTTCAGTCAGAAGTTTGCAACGCAGTGAAGGAGACCTTTCCGACCCTATAAAGTATATATATTCTTGATCAGCATCAACAGCCGAGTCGATCTAGCCATGTCCGTCTGTCCGTCTGTCCGTCTGTCCGTCCGTCTGTCCGTCTGTCCGTCTGTCCGTCTGTCCGTCTGTCCGTTTCTACGCAAACTAGTCCCTCAGTTTTGAAGCTATCTGAATGAAACTTTGCATATAGTCTTCTATATACTCTCACTGCTATATATGTCGGAACGGGCCCGATCGGACAACTATATCATATAGCTGCCATACAAATGTTCGATAAATTTTTAGAAAAAAAATTATAACTTAGCTGTTTTTCAACATATGTGCACTATTTTTTACATATGACCATATTATATTATTTCAGAATTTTGGTAAAAATTTTATGAATATCGGACGACTATATCTTATAGCTGCCATAGGAACGATCGGGAAATTAATAGAAAAAACATTATAACTTCGTTGTTTTTCAACCTATTTTTATCTACTCTGAGATATAAGATTATATTATTAGTTCAGAACTTTGGTATAAATTTTATGAAAATCGGACAACTATATGATATAGCTGCCATATAAACCGATCGGTAGATGTAGAGAAAATGTAAAACTGGGAATGTAAAACTGTAACTGTCAAACTCTAAACAATAAGTATAGGTAAAATTTAATGAAAAAATATCTGCAAGGGTATACAAACTTCGGCGTGCCGAAGTTAGCTTCCTTTCTTGTTTTATTTATAAAATATAATCAAATCTTCAGGAGTCGGAACTTTTAAATCAATCTGCTTTAGGTCTGCACTTGAACAGCTCAAGACCACAGAGCCTACACTTCTTATCCCCTGGATGGTTGCTTTTTGCTCTGCTACCTTCGAGAGAAGTTTTTGCTTTTCTTTTTTCCTTGGCTTAGCTGCCAAAGCAACAGCCGCCAAATGTAATTATCAAAAGTTTCCACTATTTTCCGTGCTGCGATGCGGGGCGCAAAGGCACAAAACCCCCTAAAAAAAAGCCAAGAAAAGAAGCTGCTTGGTGGCAAGGTAGCTGGCTGTAGCTTAAGGAGAAATGTCAGCCTCAGGCTTGCGGCTTGTTATTCTGTTTGTGTCTGCCAGACGTGAGAGGGCACAAGAAAGTACAAAAAAATAAATAAAAATAAAAAGTAGAAAATTAAATTCGTTTCAACTGCAGACGTCGTCTCGTTGCTCAGTCTTTTTGCTCCCCAACCAAGTTTCTTTCATGATGCCACTGCGCTGCTGCTATGGCAATTTGTTCTTCTTTCTTTTCGGAGATTTGCCACAGGGATGCTGTCTTGTTTGCCTATTTATTACAATTTAATGTCAATTCGGGACGAGAGGCAGCCACGGCGGCTTATTAATCTGTCATGCAAAATTACTGCGACATGGAATCTCTAGATTGCGTCAAAAAGCATTGAAAGCCGACACATTCGGTTGAGTAATTCGAGGGGAATTTGTGCCAAGACCTATTTTTCCCTTTTACAATCTTGTTTCTGGCCTTAAAAATAAACAATCAATTTCCAATTTGTATGCCCCAAACAGAGTGCAATAAAATTATCTTGTCCTTGATGTTGATGCTTTTAACAAACGAATAACAAAATAATTGCCAACAGAGAGCAATGAATGTGGCCAAGGAAATTGTCAGCGCAAAGCACTGAATCCTCAATAGTGATAAAAATAACAAAATAAAGCCAAGAGAGGGAGTAAAAAACAAATAAAACTAAAATGCAAAACAAATGGAAAATGGTTGGGAAATAAAGAAATAAAAAATGAAAATGTAAACGAAGTTCGAAAAAAGCAAATGAAATTGAAATGAATATTTTGTGATATTTTACCAATGCAGCAGCAGCATCGCAGCAAGGCAGAGAGGCTGAATGTCGTTGTTGCATTGTTAAATATTCATGTCAGGGAATATGGTATTTTATTTATACACACCCGGCACATACACATATGTATATATACATATAGGAGCTAGTATATACATATATTCGAAGGGTCTCTAACCAAAATACGCGCCAACATATGTGATTCAACAGAGTCCTGAACCATTTTCCATTGCCACCTACTCACCTCCCCCTGCTTGCCTTTTTATTATTGCCTTGCATATTTGAGCTGAAATCTTTCCACTCCTTTCACAAGCTTCCTTGAGGTGTTTTCAAGGCTCGTTTGTCCGCGTGGGCATGATTTTTAAATATTTTATAACCATTTCTTCTCAGCTTTTCTTTTTTGTATGCTATGAAAATGAAAATGATGGTGCGTGACCCAACCCCCTTTTCGATTTTAACAGTCTCCTTTTCCCCCTCCTTGTGGAAATTGGCAGAGTGAGCGCCTTAAGTGTTTGGACAGGTTGGCGTCAAAGTTAAATGATGCATGGCAAAGGCTTCTAGGGAGACATTTATGAAATGTAATTCACCTGACTTGGAGCGTGGCCCAAGGAAATGGTGTGGTGTATAGTGCCTTGAGAAGCCTTGGCTCGAAGAAAATGTGGAAATTAAAAGGGAAAGAAGAACTATTTAAAAACATTTTAAATTATGTGCAAGAATATATTAATAACAAGGAAAATCATTAAAGAAGTAGCATAAAATTACTTTTTTAATTGATTTAAAATCTATTCTCTTATATTTTATATTCTTTTGTATTAACACCTACTTTTTCCAGTGCATTTATCCTTCTCCCCTTTTAGTAAAGAGCAACCAACTCAACTCAAAATTCACTTAACGATTGGCAATTTGCGTATGCCATGCATCGACACTTGGCCTCAGTCTCCTCAGTCTCATTTTTCGCCATAGTAACCCAAGGAATGGAAGGTGGAGAAAATATGGCTGATGGGTGTGGAAAAGCCACGTGGATGGGGCCAGGAGTTGGGGTGAAAATCCTGTTAGCAACCGCTGTGAACACAACTCGAGGCAGCTTCCTGCCAGCCTGGTTTGGTTTCGGCTTGGTTGTTGTGTTATCGCTTATGTTGTCTCTTACGGTCTGTTGCATTTTGTACAAATTTGCGCCGCAGGTCCACAAATTTGTGCAACGAAGCGTTCCTCCCATCGTCGTCGGAGGACGACCTCCCCTTCACACTCTCACTCTTACAAACAGGAGAGGGGTGGAGGTAAAACTTTTCTAATAATTTGCCCATGCTTCAGGTCTGATTTCTTTTTGCCAAAAAACTTGGAGCCCATCACAAGTTCCAAGTGTTGCTAGGTTTTCTCGCCTAATGTCATTTGAGTTTGATTCGGGTTCGAGTTCGAGTGGCCAAAAATAAATGCCCTTAATTTTGGTCGTCGGGGGAAAGTTTGTGACCAGTTTTGGGATAAGCCATATGCTCAAAGGGAAATCAAGGAAAATCCTCAATAAAAATTACCAATATTTACTTTACAAAATGACAGGCTGCTCCTTCTTTGCCTCCTTGCCCTGGCAAATCCCTTGTCAACTTTGCTACTTAATAAAATATGAGTGCCAAAGCGGAGGAGGACAGGACAAACACGGACGAAATATCCAAGGACGTGCCACTAATGGCGGGCCCGGGCTCAAGTGCCAAGGCGAAAGGAAAGCAAAGGAGCTGGAGCTGGAGCCAAAGGAAAGGAGCGGCCTGGAAAGGGATAAAGAAATAAATAGAAAATGCAAATAGAAGGCAATACATTTGCCAGACTCCTCAGAGATACCGCCCAGGCAGCCAGCCACTGCTGTTTGCCATGTCCTTTCGATGAGGTTGCCTTGTAAAAATGACATTTCCATCGTGTCCTCCAGGAGCAGGAGCAGGCGCAGCAGCGTCCCTTCCCGTATCCCTTTGCCCAGCTCTCAAGGACATCATGCGTCTCACATAAACTGTTGATTTTTATCGAGGTTCGTGACACGACGACCATGGCCCAAGCTCAATGAGAGATACAGATACACTGTGGAGAATATATTGGAAATAGTTTTGATTTTAAAAGAATAAAAGCTGCTAAAGATATTGTATAAATATTCGGGTTTAATATAGGGAAACTTTTAAGACTTAATGCCTTTTTAGTTCTCTTTAAATATCAATCTATGTTTTATTTTTAAAATATTTGAAAATCTTTAAACCATATTTTTATAAAGATTCCCCATTTCTCTAAGTGAAATCCTCTACTATCATAGTTCTCAGGTGTAATTCTGACTCAGCCTACCTCCATTCCTCCCTCCCACATCCTGTTTTTCTCCTCCCCTTTGGGAGGGCAGTCTCTCCATCAGGGTTTCCTTTGACACATGTCAAAAGTCTGACCATTTGCAAGACCCGCAAGGTCGCCAAGCAGAACCATTTTTTTGTGGCTTGGCATTAGTGTCGAAATTATGGCTCTTATATGGCCTCCCCCCTGTACCGCAGTTGCCAATAGTTTTATGTTCTTCGTCCTTCTTGGAAAAGTCGTATTCCCCTCTGAACCTTTGTGCTTGTGCGTTTTACGACTAAATACAATTTGAACGCCATTTCCACAACCCCAGCTCTACACTCTCTTGGTGACTTTGTTGCTGTTTTATTATATGCTTCGGCTAATGTTTATGTATGTTATCCCAGGAGGCAAAAATATAGAGGCTGTATTATGGGTGCAGCTGGGTTAAACAGGATTTATGTAAGAATTTCTTTCCCTTTGTTGAGGGGGAAAAACACATTTCACTTTGTTTAACAATTAAAAAGGGAAATTTTGCAAGCTTCACAAAAGGCAGGAGCAACAGGGAGGGTATAGGTTGTGCTTTGATTTCTATTAAGAGGAAAAATTTTAATTAGAAACTAGTTTGAGGGTGAAAACTTCATAAGGCAATTAAATTCAACATTTTTACATATATTTTTGTATGGGCTCTTATCCTTTTTTTTCCAAATTCTCTTATATTTTCCTTGATCCCATTTTAATTATTGATTTCTCATTAATTATTTCCAGGTAAGTGACGATGTGCTTTCGCTTGCTTTTAACCACAATCAAGTAAGAATTTTTTCGTTTATTATCTTTTATTTTATGGGCTAAGGGACTTTAATGGTAATGCATGCCAAACCCACACCTCAAATTTAGCTCTATTTGTGTGCTAGCTGAGAGGTTTAGCTTCATAAATCAATCAAAGATCAGAGATCCCAGGGAATTTTCGACTGGTGATGGTGATGGTGGTGGTGTGCACAACGACGGCTATTGACGGTACGAGATTTGCAACATTTCCGGCGCATGACGCAAAGCAGTTAATTTGTCAAATGTCTGCACTTTATCACCCATATCTGTCCGGTTGTCCCCTGATCCCCTGCCTCCGGCAAAAGTCCCTCTGGCCTTGCCACGGACGCCGTGAAAACGCATTACGCACTCAGACATTTTCGGGGGCCTCCTCGTATTCGTACTCGTATCTCTGTGAAATGTTGAGCCAAAGTGCAATCAGTGCAGTGGCGCATTTCCCACCGGAGCCGGAGCGCCCCAGACAGACGATGAAAATATCAGGCCCTCCTGGAAGCCCCTTTTCCAGCCCCTTTGTCCAAAAACTGAACCGCAGCCCAGGCTGAAACCAACTCGAAACCTGCTATGTGGCAATCCTCTGCATTGTCAGTTGGCCTCCAGGGGGGGGAAAACTGTTAGAAAAACTCTGGCTCTCTCACTCTCGCGCTGGCAAAGCAATTTAAAGTTGCATCCATAACATCACAAACGGCAACAAGCAACAAAAACAACAGCAAAGTGAGGATGGGCCATCGGCCTGGGGAAATTTCACTGGCTAATGTTATCCCCAGCAGTTCCCCCATAGCAGTCGGTTCCCAAATGTCCTTTCGCAGTCAACAGGCCGTCAGAGTCAGACTTGGAATCGGCATCTAGTTGGCTAGCAAGCACTGGGAGAAATTACGCATAAATTGGAAGTTACTTTTTTAATTTATAAATTTATAAATTCAATTGAATATGTTAATTAAAATTTGTATATCCTTCACCTTTAAAAACTAAATAAAAATCCTATAAAAACTCCTTTTCAAAAAAAAACTTTAACAAAAATATAATTTCTTAACATATTCACATGAACTTAACTATTTTCCCAAGTGTAAAGTGCAGGCAATGTCCGAAAATCATCGGACGAAATCGTAATTAGAAAAGTGCTTGCTTGATAACTCACTTTTCGGTTTCTGCATTGACCGAAAAGGGATGATTAGGAAGGGCATCCTGTATTCCTCTGCACTGAGTTTCCTCCCCCACACCACCCTTTGTGCCCATTTAATAGCTTTCGAAATCAGTCATTAGAGGCGAGTGCACGCGGGGATGAAGAAAAACACACTGACTGACTACGCAACAAGCTGCAATAAAATTAACACAAAAATTCTATTAGCCTGGTTACACTAATTGGCCTGCAAATTGGCTAGTAAATCCCTTACTGGGAATCATCTCCCATAAGTTTCTTATAGCCACCACCCATGCTGCATAAACTTTGGCTCTGCACCAAAAATAGAAACTAAATGTTTATAAAAAATGTCATCAAAATGTCATTACGTGGGTGGCTGACAACATATGCCCCGATTTTGCATTTTTCTCCCTTGTTTTTTGTTTTGTTGTTTGGCTGTTGTGACAGCAATTTAAGGACTTGCATTCTAAATTTAAACAGAAATGCACATTTCTCATTGTGGGGGGGAAAACCATAATAAAATGGCATTTGCCTCCCTGTCACCCTCGTAGTTATTATGCAAATGAATGGCGGCTGGTAACCCATATGGAGTCTAAAAAATTACCATTTTATGCAACAGCCTGCACATAATTTGGCAAAAAGGGAAAATGGAAAATTAACCCTACAAGAATAGGGATTATAAATTATTATTAAAGATCAGTAACCAATTTTAATAATAATTCTTTTAATAATAAATATTAAATAATTGTAATATTTAAAAAAGGTATTCTTTAACTCCTAAAAATCGTTTTCTGACCAACTATTTTGACAGTTGAGGGTTAAAATTAAAGCTTAGTCTGATGACAGTGAAAATGAACGCCAAAACAAAGCAGGCGGTGGGATGCCCAAAAAAAGAAGAGGGGAAAAGGATACAACTAGAACCACAACCTAGCCCGGGTCTTTGGCCCCTTTGTGCCATGTTGTATGCATTTTTGGTCAGTGTGGTGGGCATTTTGTCAACGGAGGACCACACCAGCAGCAGGAGCAGCGACAATGATAGCCATGCAAAACATGGTCGGTGGTTGAGAGTTGGGTGAGGGGAGATGCAGGGATATACTAGAAATGTTGTAGGGCTGCTCTGTTCCCTGGGATAGTGAATGTTGGATGTTAGGCGGACGCGTGGGCGTGTTTCGTTCGTTGGATGCAGTTGTGGCCTGCTCTAATGACAACCACACGTCATCAGAGATGTACCCTTTTGCCTGCTTTTCCGCAACAACAATGTCATCGCTGTCATTGTCGCCAAACGCCCCACTCTGACACGCCCACATACGTGGGGGGGGTATGCCTGTGCGCATCTATAGATATCTACATAAATGTATATATCTTTCTCTGAATACAGTTAAGGTAACAAAAATAATAATAATCCTGTTTAAATTATTTAGAACAAAAAGAAAGGTTCGAATCTTAAGAAAAGCAAATATTTACTAGTTTGTGGGGGCTGCAGGATCTCTTTGGAGGATAAAAATATTGTTTGAATATTTTAAAATGTTATAAGAGGTTAAAATTAACAAATTTAAATGAGGCTTAAGTATTTACTTCGTTTTATTCGCCTTAAAATAAATAAAAGTTGTACTTAAAGCTTCAGGGACTTAACTTTTAATGTGATTTAGTTAAAATATATATCTTTATATCAAAATTTACTTAAAATATCTTTGAATTTATTTACCTACAAATACTTTCCACATGAAAACCCCTCTAGGGTTACAGTTAATAAAATCCTTCTTTTGTCCTTTGTTCTATTATTCTGAGCATAATTGTGAATGCAGGACATGTATCATTGGCATGCAAATTTTTTAAGCGATGGCAGCCGCTAGAGCTCCATCGCCATCCACTATCATCATCATCAACATCCGCATCCGCTGCCGCATCCACATCCCCATCAAACGGGAGGAGCCAAGGACTCGGCGTTGTTGACTCATTTGCATTATCGCATCTAATCATTGTCATCATCAACAACAATGCTGCTCGTTAGGCTTGTCCAGACAAAGGGGGAGTTTTCATTTCTATATCTATATATATATATATATATAGGGATCTAGGAGCTGCATTAAACTTTACCATTTAGTTTTGTTTTCGTTTTTAGAACGAACGAAAAAAAAATGGAGACATTGTAAAGAGAATTGGAAATGCAAATTGTTGCAGTGGCAAACGATGCGAATTGCAATTAAAACGCATTTGCAATTTGTTGCAATTGCAGCATTTGGCAGTTTCGAATTTAGAGTGCAATTCCCGATGCAGTTGCAGTTGCAGTTGCCATTGCAGTTGCACTTGCAATTTGCGTAATTTGTCACTGCATTTAATTTGCTACTCCATTGCAGAAAGCCACGGGGGCGAAATGGGGGAGTTGCCATAGAAAGCTAGACGGTTTTATTTTCGTTTTGCCATGGTCATTAATCTGTAGCACACTTTTTTGGGCGGAAGGAGGTGGTAGGATATGGAATTATATTACAAAAAACATTTGGTTTTTGGTCATTTATGGGTTTTTAGAAAGGGGGAAACTAAATGTATTTTAAAATAAATTTGTAAAGGGTTTCCTAAGGATGGATATTTAGTTGAAAATGTAATAGCATTATTATTAAATGGGTGAATAAATAATTTTGAAATTAAATAGGGATCATTGATTAAAGGTATTTAGCAAATATAAGTATAAACAAATATTAAATTGGAAATTTAATCTAGAATTTTGAGGAGGAGAAATAAAAAGCGTTAAATAAAAATATAACAAAATGTTAAATCTTGCTAAAAATATATGTTAAGCTTAGGAAAACCTTAACTTTGAGCAGTAATTATATTAGATAATTCTCTTTAAAGTATTTCATATTTTTACAAGATCAAGAATTTCCGCTTCCGATTATTTGTGGATCTTAATCCCAACTATAAATACAATTCAGATTGCATTCGACACACACAGACATGCGTTTTAAGTTTTCTTTTATTTTTGGTTCACCTAATTTGCATGCAGAAGCAATGGGAAAATATTTATGCACAATTAAATCAAGTGAAAGGAGGGAATAAATTCAGCACACACACACACACTCCTCTCTGGCACGCTAGCGAAAGCAGCTGCCCGTTTGGATAGGCTATGGAAAAAAATGCAAATGACATTAAAGCCGGATGTGAGAGTGTGTATGCGAGTGTGTGTGTGTTTGTGAACAATGGGTAACGCAGTAGTTGACCCACATTCACCATCTTTCTCTCTCTTGGTCCCTGCCAGAACTGTGTGCCAGTTTTTAATTTTTCTTGGCTTTTTCGTTGCTCTTGATTTGCGGGAAAATTTGTACGCTCGATTTCACTTCCCCCCGAGCTCCCTTTTCCTCTCTGTCTCGTTTATTTCTGGGCTTAATGTGCATTAAGCATGTGTTTGCCGTTGTGTGAGTAAGTGTGCGCGTGTGCTTGTGTCTGTGTCTCGCTAATTAAGTGGCATTATGTGCTCTTTTTTCCGCCTTTTCCGTTTCCGGTATTTTATGCTGGTCACAGGTTTTCATTCTCCTTTCTTTTTTTTTAAGGGAAAATTTCAAGCGGTTTCGCGAGTTTCTTCCCTAAATGTTTTACGCTTTTTCACAGAGTTTAACAAGTTAATTGGATGCCTGTTTTTTTGGGGGAAATTCTTAATTAAAGTATTGAAAAAGTGAAAAAATTCAAAAGATTTTTTATTTTTTCAATAAAAATCTTGCCGAAATCGGCATTAAATCATAGACCAAGCTTCCTTGAACTTCTAAAATAAATAATATCCAAGATAATTTATATTTTGGCATCAGCTTTAGGCCAATCTCAAATCCCAGAGCACACAAGGACCACCATAAGT